AGAGCCTTCTCTGTGGGGGCACCTACCCTCTGGAATCAGCTGCCCCCAGAGATAAGGAGAATCCAAGACCTCAGTGCCTTCCGCAGTGCCCTTAAAACCCACTTTTTCCAGCAAGCCGGGCTGGCTTAGGAAGAAATTTTTTAAATTTTTAAATGTTTAATTGGTTTGTGGTTTTTTTAAATTTTGGGCCAAATTTATTTAGATTTTAATTGTTTTAATATTTGTATTTCATGTTTTTAATTCTGGCTGTGCACCGCTCTGAGTCCTCAGGGAGAAGGGTGGTATATAAATTGAAAATAAATAAATAAATAAATAAATAAATTTGTGAGTTGCACAGATTTGTCCAATTTGTGCCTGTCACTAAAGGCATGTGTTATATGTAATCACAAGCCATATGAAAGTTTCCCATTCCCAGATTAAATTTTCTCTTCAATTATGATTTGCACAAGACAATTTCCTATTTGATTGTTTTTCTGATGTCAGCAGTTAGCTAAATATGGAGCTTTCTGTTTCCTTTTTTATCCATTTACAAAGATCATTAACTGGGAATATTCTTTTAATGTATTATTCTTATAAAGTAATATATTAACAATTATTTGTGGTTTTTTTCATTGCCTTAACAAAGAATCTCTTGGCGAGACAAAAACAGGAAGGGCTAATAGTCAAATTGCAAGACAATGACAAGGACATCTTACAAGTTAAATTATCACTATATAGAAACTAGGGAATGCACCTATAACATTTTTTCTCTACCATTACAGTGAGTTAAAAGGTGGCAAAGAGGCAAATATTTGAGATGCATGCCCTTAGCACTTGTTAAGATACACAGAATAAAAGAAAGAAAGAAAGAAAGAAAGAAAGAAAGAAAGAAAGAAAGAAAAGAAAAAGATTAATTTGCCAAAGTTCAGCAAATGAAATATGGGAGGCAAATAACTGATTCTGGAATAGCTACTGTAATTTCTGGATAGATGACTGGGGGAAAATAGCTTGTGATTGCTCTGAAAGGAAAGCAGTAACATAAGGCAGTATTACTGACCAAGATGGTTTAATATAATTTAAACTCAGTAGTAGTAATAAAAAAAGATCAAGGCAAATAAAAAGAAATTATGTACTGTATTGTTATTGGGATGAAATCATTCTCTTTCAGTTATAAGAAAGTGCATTATATACATCCCTGTTTGAAATGAAGGTATCAGAGATTGAAGCCAAGACATTCAACATGCAAAATATGCGTTCTACCTATGATTTTTCATCGCCAAATGCTATTACTAAAATCAATTCAATGTCCAAGTGACTCTAAATATGTAACCAAAATTATATAATAAGAATACAATATTGGGAGATTCAGCCTTGAGTTATGCTCAAAGAAGCAGGGGAAAAAGTACAAGAAATACAAAATGACAATTGGATATAATAAATAAAATGGAATGACTGGATCATTCAATTATTGAGTCACAGGATAAAAACAACAACAAGCAATGAACTTTTATTTCTGGAATTCAGACCATATAGTGAATCTATTAATCATCAGTTTTTAATTTCTATCTCATTTATATAGTCTATTAAGCATATATGTATATCATTGCAATAAAAAGGACTCTCAATGGCTCACATAGAAAAATACAGTATTAAAAACTCCCTATAAAAATCCAACAACACAAGAATGAAAATAATCAGAGTATAGGAACAATAACTGAAATCAAAAGAGGCTAAAGATTGGTCTTTAGGAGCTTGCAAAAAACCAGTAGAGATTTCATTTCTGCTAAGAAATTAAAAACTTTATAGATCAAAACCAGCCCTTAAATTGGACCTGGAAATGAATTGGCAACAAATGCAGGGTCTGAATAGTGATATGTGCTACCAAATTGGTAACCAAAGTTGCAAGCCGCTGCATACGCTGGAGACAATTGCAACTGAACAGCAAATTACGGTATTAATTTCTGGGAAATATTAAAATGGGAAGAGATATTTCAAGAGCAAAAAAAAAGCTGCACAATCACTGTCATTACAAGAAATTATAGACACAATCTATGAAATTGGGAAAGGCCTTTGATCCTAATAGCTCCCCAGATGAATAGTTAGAACATATTTGTTGTTTGTTTGTTTGTTTATCTGTCTGCCTTTTCTCCTTATGTTCAAGGTACCACATACAAAAATCTTCCTTCATTTTATCTCCACTTCTATCATGTGAGGTAGATTGCACTGACAGAAAGTGATTAGATTGATGGGGCACATAGCTGAGGGTGAAAAAGAACCAGGTTTTACCAGTTTCCAGAATACTGGGTTAAACTTTATGCTATATTGGCTCGTATATAAGTTTATCCATAGACAATGTTGTTTGGCTATCTTATTGTAGACATAACTATCTATTGTACGCTCTCTGCTTCCTTTGTAGTATTTCAGATTAGCGCATTCTAATGTGGTGGGTTGCCCCCAGTTCGGACGGGTTTTATAGAACCGGTAGTAAAACCAGAGGGAGGCTCCACCCACTGACCCTGATGTCATCAGAACACTTCTGCACAGGCACAGAAAAGTGTGCGCATGTGCACATGAAGCAAGCATGCGCGCATGGCCCCGTTGCGAACCGGTAGTAAAAGTGAGTAGAACCCACCCAATTCTATGGCATGCATTGTTATTCTGGTATATCATTGCAATCCAAAGAAGTAGGGTTCATTTGTAGGGATTATGAAGTGCATTTTACCTGCTCTGTAATAAAAGCATTTCTATGGGCTATACATGGACAAGATGCCCTACAATGCCCAGCCTAGGAACTTAATTTGGCTCATATGTCTCCTAATTTATCTGCCAGGGTCTCTAGAAAAGTTGTGTCATAAGTCAAACCACAGAGGGCAATTTCTATCCTCTCCAAATATTCAATTTTCAAACTCAGAACATTGTTTGCCAATCCTGGCTCCTCTCTTCTTTGGAACAACCAATCCAAATTCCAAGTCTTGAGAGGAAACAAATTCATAGACAAATATTTGGGTTTTAATGCAAGCTTAAAATAAAAGCAAGAAGTTAAAGCCTAAGTTATAGAGTATAATTGGCACACTTTGTCAGATGGATGTTTAAACATAAAACAAACCTTAAGGAAAATAGAAGGATTGCTTGCCTTATAACTAAAGAAACATTGAAAATTGCTAAATAACTTTTTTTAGCACATATCAGAAATGTATAAGGCAATAATTATATTCAATTATATTTACATTATAAGCATCTGGGAATCCTTTTATTTCAAACGTAGCTTTCTATGCACTCTCTGTCGTGGCATGTGTGTGTCTCTCTGTGTGTGTATCTTCGTATTATTACTGTATTGATATATTTACAAAAACATTTTGCTTACAAGTTCAGACCCAGATACATATATATCAAGGTAGCCAAATATTGCATAGTGTTCTGCAGGATCAGAGAAGATTAATGGCTACTGTGATAACCTTCCTTATTTCTTTTAAATGTGGAAAAGTTTGTGATTTTAAATTAATATGATCTGCTTGTTGAGTATAATAAAATAAACTAGAGTAAGGGCATTAATTCGCTAAATCTAGAGGTAGGAAGCCCTTTTCAAAGTTACAGTCCATACTCTATATTTTCTTTCTCTCTCCTTTTTGATTATGCTATAATACATCTACTTTCATGACAGGGAAAGTTCACAAACAAAAAGGGAAATCAAGTTGACAAATATTGATAGGTTTATTGCTAATTTTGAGAACTGTTATGGTGAGAAGTTTTAAGGTCCTCCAAAATGTAGTTACCGGTGCATTTGGTCTAATGGACATAGAATGCTGACTTCAGGCATAGCCCAATAATGCCGATTCTGATTAGTGATGATTCTTAGATCATGATATTTTGTTATCCATTCTCATTACCCATTCTTTAGGGTATAATTAGAGATAATTTGATTGAAATTGGGAGAGTACATTATATATATAATGTACTTTTAAGTACATGTGCTTTCCTCTGCTCCATACCTTTCCCTTTTTCCATATATTATAGCAATAGACAAGATAGATCAGGGAAAAGGAGCAGTTTACTGATTCCCAAATCTTTCAGGATACCAATAATAAATGTTTTACTCTGCTGAAATAAAGATAGTGAATTAAACACTGAGATTTAAAATTAATCTGCAACCTCAGAATATCCTTACACTTTCCCTCTTTTTGTGCTTTTTGCACTGTTTTAATTTTAATAAACAAAGTAGACCTGCAAAACTAGAAATTTGTTCTTCTCTGATGTAATTCAGTTGTATTATTAATGTATGTAAAAATATCATCCACCCAACTCACTACATAAGTTGTGATGCCTATAAATCTATCATTATTCCATCCTTTTTTTAAAAATGGAATGATCTATGATAAAGTATCAGGAATAATCATTTTCCAAATTTTATTTTGAGGTAAGTCTTTAATTTCAAGCTCCTGCAATTCTGGAACAGGTGCTTTATAGAGTAGAAAAAAATGGTTCTAAATAATTGCAAATTGTCCATATATCCATACATATTTGCAATTCACAACATTCTCCAGTGTAGATATGATTTGATCTCACAATCCTAATAATGCTTAGCATTGATTATTCAATATTGTTATCTTTGTTTCTAGGATCTTTTCAGAAGTACAGTACAGCATGGAAAGTACAAGCTGGAAGCATAGAAGATGCCTCCAGATAGATGGTTCCTAATGGTGTTGATCAAAGAAAATTATACAGCTAATCCATCTTTTTCTCCATAATTGTTCAGAAAAAAGATATGCCATTTGTAGAGAGAAAATAATAGCAGAGAATAAAGATAATGGGAAAATATAATCTGAAACCAATCCTAGGTTTAATCCCTAAAATAAATATTTGAGCAACAGAACTGCATTTTGAATTAAAATAAATAACTGGTAAAACACCCAATTCAATACACAAACAGTAAAAGTCATTAAAAATAAAGCATTAGCCAAAACCAGAATAAAAAACTGATCTGTGTAGGTAAAAGGGTGCACAAAGAAGAATCTCAAACTTACAAATTTTGGCCAGACTGGCCACGAGAATCCAGACAGCAATAATATAAGGATCCTGGACATGATGCCATTTAAAACTGACGATTTGATAAGTTTCATTTTTATGTTCGAGAGTGCTGTCTTCCATCTGTGCTGCAACAGGAAAAAGAAAAAAAACCAAGAAAATCCCCCAAACTTGCATTGTGCCCATCATGACAAAGTCTTTAAATAATAGGTTTTCAAATTACTGAATATCTGCAAAAATTGCTTGCTGTCTTCGTTGACTGAAGTGGATCCTTGGACATGGAAAACTGGATGAGAGGCTGGATCAGATAAGTATCCAAGGGTGAAAAGCTGTTGCTGCTGCTGCTGCTGCTGCTGCTGCTGCTATTAGGTATCAACAGTATTACATATGCTTGCGCATCTGTGTATAACCAACAGGGGTCAGCCATGCCCATAGTTGCAGGTGCCTTTATACATTTGCCTTGATTACCTGTGCTTTGGGGCGGAGGTTTCTTGACCAATCTGTTCTGATCAACTGACTATAATTTTTCCATTTGGGAAAAGTGGGACATCAATGACAAAGGATGGAGTTACAGCAATGTGAATGTGAGAAAGCTTGCAGATATCTGAGTGGTTACACTTTGTTCTGGTATTTTGTGTGTGTTATGAGAAACACAACCACAAACCATCTGCTTCCAATAAAACAGTACACTTAGAGCACAACAAAATCACTGAATTAGAAAACATAAGACATAGCAAGGAAGAATATTGGTTCAAAACAAGAATTTCTTTTTTATCAGAGAAAAATAATTCCAATGGTCGGTAGGTGTAAAGAGAAACCAGTGGACTTGATCCCTTAAAAATAGACTCCTTTCTTTATAAGTAGGACTTGTAAATAGTTCAGTGTCTCTTACTGGAAAAACAGCCTGCCTGAGCCCATTATCAAGACTAATAACCTCCTGCACAAGCAATTCAGATTTGCGTTGGAGTTCAAACAACCACTTATCTATGAGGTGATAAGGGAGAAAAAGCTTGCGGGGAAAACAGACTCATAGATAAATTTTTGGGTCATAATGAGTGCCTTGCAGGCTTGAAATAGTAGAAAATACTTTGAAGTTACTGTAAGCCTAGGCAATTGAATACAATTAGCACACTGAAATTATCAGGTGAATGTTTAAACATAAAATAAATCTTGGGGGAAATAGGAGGCTTGTTTGCCTCATAGCTAAGGAAGCACTGAAGTTAAAATTGTTAAATATTCAGTTGTAGCTGCAAATATAAAGTTGTAGATTTATCTAACACATATCAGATAGGCAGATTTCTCAATAATTATACTCGCTCAGGGTATTTGGACATCCCTTTCTTTCAAAACTAACCTTCTCTGGGATCTTGTGCGTGATCTCTTGTTTGCAGCATTGCAACCCTGTAACCATTTATTGAGAACATGAATACAAAACATGAATGCTCTTCAATAGGCCTCCAACTCACCATGGAGAAAACCTCCACCTCCAGTTTCTTCCTCCATTGTACGTGGGTTTTTCCCCCCTTACCAGCAGCACCAGCTGTACTTATGTGGTCAGCATGTGGCAAATCATCTCAAGGCAAGATTGCCTTATTCCAATTACTGCTTGAGGCTATTGCAAGTATACTTATCCTGGCCGTTTGGGCTGTTTCCTTTTGGCAGTGGTAGAGTCAACGGCCATTTAAAAACATTCATTGCTGGACCGCTATAACACTAGATATATCAGGACCTCCCACACAAAAATTACCAACTACCATCCTCCATGGTTTAGGCATGGTGCACGAGCATTCCTGACAAGTTTCATTGCTGTACCATTGATTTAAATACATTTCTGCAATTTCAGTGCTGCAGTTCCAAAGTCATGGGGGTACAGCAGTCCTTCCCCTCATCTTCAGCATTGCATCATGAAAGCTATAGAGGATTACTTTAAGGCAGGGTTGTCAAACCCGCGTCGTCATAGGATTGTCACATGACGTATTGTGACTTTTCTCCCCTTTGCTAAACCGGGAGTGGGAGTAGCCAGTGCATGACGCATCTGGCCCGTGGGCCGTGAGCTTGACAGCCCTGCTTTAAGGTGAGATAATTATACTTGGTTATACTTGGTTTTGGAATTTCTAGCTCAGGGGTGTCAAACTTAAGGCCCAGGGTCTGGATCCAGCCCACAGGGTGCTTAGATCTGGCCACAGGGCTGCCCTGGAAACAGCAAAGGACCTACCAGCAGTGCCTCTGCAACAGAAAACAGAGCATGGGAGGGCTGCATGCAGCACTGCCAAGCTCCATTTTCACTGGCAGAGGGTTGCAGGAGGCTGTTGCAGCCAAAACGGAGCTCTGGAGCCCATTTTCACTGGCAGAGCGCTCGAGTGACATCGAGCTGGCTACGCCCACCCTAGCCCCCCAAGGTAAAACACAGCCCTCAATGAAATCGTGTTTGACACCCCTGGTCTAAATTAAAGAGCTTAATTTAGCTCCTGCCTGATTAGCTGCCAAGGTCTCATAAGAAAATCGTGGACCTCATAATCCAAGGGAATGCAAGATGCCAAGGTCACAATATTTACTTTTCCTGAGTTATTCCTCAGAATGTGCTTCACTCTTACTCAGAACAAACCAAATTCTAGGGAATCAGTATTGATGTTGTATTAATGTTTAAGGAAGGAAATATAGCATATGTCTTTTTGGCCTCCTAAGCACTATGAGAAAACTGAATGCCAAACTGTTGGAAATGACAGAAATGAATTGAATGTGAAAAGCTAATTTGCAAAGGTCAGGCAGGATTTTGATGAAGGAAATTAATTATGAAATGTAACATAATTCCAGGTAGTAATCTTTATATTGTGTTTATTATTTTAAATCAATAGGAGAGCCGATTCGGTCTAGCAATTAAGGTGCTGGCCTAGAAACCAGGAAGTAGTGATTTCTAATCCCACCTGAGACATAAAAGTCACCTGGGGCACTTTTTCCTCTCAACGCAACCCATATCATGGGGTTGTTGCTGTGAATAAAAATACAAGGAAGGAGTATTATGTATGTTTGTTGCCTTGAGTTATTTATAACATAATAAAGGTGTGATAAAATCAAATAAACAAATAAACAATTTGTCAGATGTAAATGCCTTATTCTCCAATGTGTAAATAATGTATTATGGAACATCAGAGGTTAACTTATTCTTTGGACTTTAATGTATTCATAACTTACCACTCCCATTCCTAGCTCCACCCCTTGTATATATAAGGAGCCACCCTCACCATTCTCGTCGCTTCTACCTTGAATATTCAGTGAATATAGAATGCCTATCATAATTAAAAAGAAATATATTTAAAGCTTTAACTTCTATTATCTTTATTGAGTCTGATCCTGAAAATATTGCAACAAGCTGGTAGCAGAGGATGGTTAATTGACTCAATAAGTAATTAAAAATGTCCAAGAAAGATAGGCCCAACACCAGGGCCTACAGCAAAGAAATAGAAACTGATCAAGAGATGATCAACGAATCCACCAATGCGATTTCGAGAGAATCCGAAGAATACACCACTGAAGAAGAAGAACTAATGAGTGAAAATAATGACCAGAAAGAAATCGAAATAGAAAATAACGAACTCAGGTCAGAGATATTAAAGATACTAAAAAGCCAAAAGAATGATGAAAGTCTCATCGCGGACCTCCAGGAGATGCTGAAGAACAGCGGAGCAGCGAGAGAGAAAAACGTCATTAAAGAAAAACCCAAAGATCAAAAAATCGTAAGTGAGATGACTACTGAGAAAATAGTTGTTAAAAAGAAAAGATGTGATCCCGCGCGAAATTTTGAATGGCAGCCATCTTGGTTTCAACGAACTTCAAAAGAGAATGGAGCAGAGCCAATCAAAACGCTCAGTTCAAAATTTCTGGCGCGAAAAACACTATCAGACGAAGAAAGTGAGAAAGAAGTCTCAAACTTTCAGATGATCCAAAATCAGAAAGTGAAGACGATTTAACAAAATCTCAAGTAAAATCAGCAATGAAAACGCTTTTGCTGCTTTTGGGCCAAGACTGAAAATTACCAAGACATCTACGAAGAAGCAAGAAATCAAACCGGCGACTCAAGACCTGCACGCTCCCATCCTGACTTCGAAAGCGACGACGCCCGAGCCCAGAGAGCCATGCGATTTCGCCCTACACCACAGACAAAATCGAATACCAACGCACACAAAAAGAAGAAAAGAACCGTCACACCACCAGAACCCCAAAAACCGAGCCAGAGACCGACTCATCTGAGGAGGAGCGGATCGAGAGAGCTGAAAGGAGAGAACCTTCCACGACGCCACCAAAGAAGAAATGAACAACGCGCATGTGCGAAACTACGTAGACGACCCAGAAGGACTTGAACTGGCCAGAGAACCGCGCAGACTCATTGCAAGCATCCAATGCCGTTCTGTAATTTCCTGCACTTGAGAGATCACGGACTGCCCCAGGTTGTAAGTAATGGACAGAATAATGTAGGTAACTTACCCAGTGACTTCCCAAAACTTAGAATTGATGGCATTAATTTACAAGAGTGGTATCAACAGCTTCAGGTTATTTTCATGAAAGAAAATTTACTATTCTTTATAACTAGCCCTCCAAGAAGACCTTGGACTTTAAAATAGATTGTTTACATCATAGAGCATTTTTCATAATAATATCTAGCGTGTCTCCTGCAATGTATCATAGCATCAAACCAAACCTAACTGTATCAGAAATAATTCAATGCATGTTTAATCTATTTCACAGCGATAGCGTAGCTACAACCACAAGAATGTCTAAGGATTTCTTTTCCTCTAGAGTAAAACCAGGGGTTTCTATAAGTGAGCATTTGATAAATCTAAACAAAATAAGAGCTGAGCTACAATTGAGGGGGGAAGTGATTTCAGATCAAACAATGAAAAGTGTTATTATCAATTCACTTGATCCATCATGGGATAGCTTTATGTCACACTTAGATACCATTAATTTGGGATATTTATCCATAGAAAGTCTATCTAACAAATTGATAGCAGAAGACAATTCAAGAAAAAATCGATCCAGTAACCAAACAGACCACAAACCTTTTAGGAAAGTAGTCTTTCAAGATAAACATAATGAGGCCTTTAGATGCTACAATTGTGGATCCAGGGAACATAGTAGAAGAGACTGCCCCAAAGTCTCAAGAGAGAGACATAGACAGAATATAGGAGCAAATATAATTACAGACAATCTTCCACAGATAGACACAAATATAGAAGCCCACCAAATTACAAAGAAGGTAGAGGGGGTAGAGAAAATTCAAAAGAGAGGAAATCTGGGTCACTGAATGGGCTAAATAAACAAGACAACACCAGAACAC